AAAAAAAAAAAAAAAAAAAAAAAAAAAAAAAAAAAAAAAAAAAACACCACTCTTTGATGGTCTGGCCGGGGCAGGGCCAAATGACCGGCCGGTCATGTTCAAGTGACCGGTGCCGGTCACGGTGATGGCACTGGCTGTAAATGCGCATGTGAGTGGGTTGCGTGTGTGAGAGTGCTGCCTTGTGACACTACCGTCCAGAAGGCTGCCCATCCCCCACCAATAGATGGGGCCTCCCCGAGAGTGCTAGTGGTGTATGCTCCAATAAAGAAAAAAAAAAGGACCCCGGCCTCTCACTATCTATAAGGGACTCTGGACCACGTTCCCAGCACGTGTAGGGCCCCACAAATTGAAAAGGAGCAATGTTGTGTCACAAAAAAAAAAAAAAAAAAAGAAACAATGGGAATCGTGCAAAGGTCCGAACGCGCGCTCGAGGCTCGCCGCACCACATGCCAAACGCCAACATTATGAATGTATCTGAATCCGACAGTGGAACATGTTGGCGTTTCCTATCACATTGCGCTGACTGGCCCCAGAATCATGTTAATGATATTATTATTATTTTGGATATTATTGTGTTCATCTGGCTGCATCTGGATTCGAACGTGGCTCCTGTACTTCAACAAGGTGTACGAACTGAGGGCATATATTCATACTACAGCACTTTCCTGAATGCATCCGGCCGAGCGTGAGCTACCTGGTAGGTCCATTGGTCGCCCCCCTTTTTTCACTCGCTGGCCTTCGGCGCCCCAAAGGGTGGTTGGTTCGCCAGGTTTAAGAACGCGGACGCGCCTACAGAATGTAGCATCGAACTCTCGCCTTCAGCGTGCTTGTGAGGGCCGGCGAGACGAGAGCGGAGGGGCAGGAAGTGTATGTGTATGCGTGCCCGTAATTGTGTAAACAGGCGGCGTGCTGCCCTTGTGTAGGGCGTCGCCTCCCGTCTGAGCGGGGCTTGTGCCATAGCGAGGGAGGGAGAAAGGACGATACTGGTGGAGCCTGCCTGCTCGAGAAGTCGGGCGGGGGGGTCAGGAGTGAGTCCGAGGAAGGAGGTCAGCAGAACAGCAGCGCTGTAAGGTTGAGCGATGGCGGGGTCTTTGGCTGCCGACCTGGTCCCTCGGCCGGAGAAACTCCCCGAGGTGACACGCATGCACAGCATGACGGATCGGGTGAAGGGCTCCCTCTCCGAGTACCGCAACCAGATCATCCTGCTCCTATCCCGCTGCGTGGCGAACGGGAAGCACATGCTTCAGCCGCACGAGCTGAAGAACGAGCTGGAGCGGAGCGGGTTGCTGAGCTGGAGTGCTTCGCCGGCACGAAGATCAAGGAGAGCGCTTTCGGCAAGCTGTTGCGTGCCACGCAGGAGGCTGTGGTCATCCCTCCTTACATCGCGCTGGCGGTGCGTCCGCGCGTGGCCGAGTGGCAGTACATTCGTGTGAATGTGTTCGAGCTGACGGTGGAGCAGCTGAGCCCGTCCGAGTACTTGGGAGTTCAAGGAGCGTCTGAAGGCTGATGATGATGCCGCCGCGCCGGTTTGCAGCGACTTCGCCACTCTGGAGATCGACATGGAGCCTTTCAACGCCAACTTCCCGAGGCTGACGCGCCCTTCGTCCATCGGCGAGGGTGTGTCTTACCTGAACAAGCATCTGTCCTCTCGGATGTTCAAGGAGCCCGGAGGTCTCCAGCCTCTGCTGGACTTTCTGCGGACTCACAAGTGCGTTGGCGAGACGCTGATGCTGAACGAGCGCATCGACACGCTCGAGAACCTGCGCAGCAACCTCGGCAAGGCGGAGGAGTATCTGGGCGCTCGTCCTGCCGACACCCCCGTTGGCCAGGTGGCTGCGCGCCTGCAAGAGCTGGGCTTCGAGCGAGGCTGGGGTGACACCGCCGGGCGCATCAAGGAGATGCTGGACATGCTGTCTGACCTGATGCAGGCGCCGGACGCGGATCTGCTCGAGAAGTTCCTGGGCCGCATCCCGCTCATCTTCAATGTGGCCATCATGTCCCCTCACGGCTATTTCGGGCAGGCGAATGTGCTTGGTCTTCCTGATACCGGCGGGCAGGTGGTGTACATCCTGGACCAGGTGAAGGCGTTCGAGTGGGACCTGCTGACCCACAGCAAGCAGCAGGGACTGAACTACAAGCCCCAGATCATCGTGCTGACGAGGCTGATTCCGGACGCCCAGGGAACGTCTTACAACCAGAGGATCGAGCACATCGACGGCACGCAGTACTCGAAGATCCTTCGTGTGCCTTCAAGAACCCCAAGGACGGCAGCGTGCTGCGCAATTGGGTTTCTCGCTTCGACGTCTGGCCCTACATGGAGCAGTTCACGGAAGACACCGTGCACGAGCTGCGCGCTGAGTTCGGCGGCAATCCGGACCTCATCATCGGCAACTACAGCGATGGCAATTTGGTGGCTGTCCTGCTCGCACATAGGCTGAAGGTTGCGCATTGCACCATCGCCCACGCGCTGGAGAAGACCGAGTACCCCAACTCCGACCTCAGCTGGAAGGAGCTGGACGAGAAGTATCACTTCTCCTGCCAATTCACCGCGGATCTGATCGCCATGAACCACGCCGACTTCATCATCACCAGCACGTTCCAGGAGATCGCGGGGCGGGCGGACACCGTGGGGCAGTACGAGTCGCACCAGGCGTACACCATGCCGGGGCTGTACCGCGTTGTGAACGGCATCGACGTGTTCGACCCCAAGTTCAACATCGTCTCGCCCGGCGCTGACGCCGACACGTACTATCCTTACTTCATCAAGGAGAAGAGGCTGACGGCGTTCCACCCAGAGATCGGGGAGCTGCTGTACGGGCAGACGGAGGACGACAAGCTGTGCCGCGGCGTGCTCAAGGATAAGAGCAAGCCCATCATCTTTACTATGGCGCGTCTGGACAAGGTGAAGAACCTGACGGGACTGGCGGAGATGTTCGGCAAGAGCCCGCGCCTGCGCAAACTGGTCAACCTGGTCATCGTGGGAGGCTACATTGACCCGTCTCTGTCCATGGACAGAGAGGAGGTGCACCAGATCAACGCAATGCACGCCGTCATCGACAAGTACGGGCTGGACAAGGGCGACATGCGGTGGATCGTGGCACAGAAGCACCGGATGCGCAACGGAGAGTTGTACAGGTACATCGCAGACACCAGGGGCGCTTTCATCCAGCCGGCGTTCTACGAGGCTTTCGGTCTCACAGTGATTGAGGCAATGACCTCGGGGCTGCCGACGTTTGCCACTTGCCACGGAGGTCCCGCGGAGGTCATCAAGCACGGCGTTTCGGGATACCACATCGACATGTACCGACCCGACGAGATGGYGGACCTGATCGCAGACTTCTTCGAGAGGTGCAAGACGGATCCGAGCGAGTGGGATCAGCTGTCCAAGGCGGGACTGGAGAGGATCTATAGCAAGTTCACGTGGGAGATTTACGCGGGGAGGCTCATGACACTTTCTCGAGTGTACACCTTCTGGAAGTACGTGTCCAACCTCGAGCGGAGGGAGTCAAGGAGGTACATCGAGATGTTCTACAATCTCAAGTACAGGGAGTGCGTCAAGACGGTGCCACTCGCTCTCGAGTAATGCGACACGCTAATCAGTTTCTTGGAGGAGTTGTCTTCACAGAGAGAGAGAGAGAGAGAGAGAGAGAGAGAGAGAGAGAGAGAGAGAGAGAGAGAGAG